CTCAGCGCTGATCTCAACATTCGTTAAAATTCGTTCCTTTTTTCAACGTTGAGGTAGCGCTGTTGTCAGCGCTGACTCAACACACTCAGCACTCAACAGATATGTTGACTGCTACTTTCCAATGAATTGTGGGTAATTGATAAGACATTTGAATGGAATCCATCTTGCTGAGAATGGAATTATGGGAACTAAGCAATTCGTACTCGAGTTGGAACGTCGTTGATGACGTCAACTTGTTGACTTCAACACTCAACACTCGCGTTGAAAATTGGAATGTCCCGAATATTATAAAGAGGTAAAGTTTGTAAGTTTGGATGTAGGAGGTAATCTCCGAAACTACTCATCCCAATTCAAAAATTCTTTCACCATTGTTTAGAATGGACCTTCAGGGTGGACATAGGCTGTATATTATTCCGTTATATATTCGTATAAATTAAAGGATATCATCTAGGTAAGCGTTATATTTTTGGTGTCAGCGGGTGGCGAGGGGCAAGAAGCATACGTATACGAGATAGGTAACAGCGCGGCGCAGTTGTATGGTCGGCGAGATACGCAGTGCACGTGTTCGAACTTGTATATTATATAGATGTCAAAATTCCTCCCCCCTTGTGGGGAGGACATGTGCAATCTATTTGCGTTCAGTTGTAAAAGGAGAATAAGAAATGTAGACAAGGTCGTAAAACCGAAAAAAAAGAAAGGCGGGAAGAGAGAGACAGAGAGTAGGTCGGGACACGGTAGAGAGAGGAAAGGTGAAGTGGTGGTCCCCGAAAGTGACAACGTTAAGTTTCAATTTTTCTTCTGTTTACAATGTAAGTACTGTACCTTTTCTTCATGTTTTAAATTAAATTGTGGCTTTTCTTACCTAAATATAGTATGAATTTCACACCTCCCCTCGCCACTTAGACTGTGCCTACGACAACAAGTCGATCGCGACATACTTTTAAGATAAAAAGTAGATCTTATGTACACAAAAATTGACCACCCCTGGTTTAGATAATTCAGTATTTTTGAAATAGTAACATGAATTTTGAATATTGCTGTAATTATTAAAATTGTTAAAGTGTCTTAACTTTTAATAAAAGTAACTTCAAATATGTTAATACAACTAAATTAATATTTTACAGATTTGAGTTTGATTAACAGATTAACATAAAAATATCAAAGAAATTTCAAATTGGGAAAAATGAACGGACTAAACGGTCGAGCACATTGTCGCGTTTAGATTCTTCCCCGGCTTTTGACATCGAGGTGGGCAGACATAAAGAGTGGATGCCAGCGACCCGCCTCTCTATATGGCGAGGCAAACTTCCTCTTCCTCTCTCTCTCATACCCTGCCCCAATCTTCGACTCGGTTCGATGTGGTTGTTACTACCACCACACTAGTTCCCATATGTACTGTATCTTATTTTTACTTTATATAGGATGTGTATTTATCATATAACTCATGTTAGTATTAGATTTTGTGTTGTTTCATGCAATTTGATAGTTATTATTTGGGTCTGAAAATGCTCAGTTTGTTCTACATAAATTAATGATAATTGCTTATTTGCTTTGCCATTTTTGCAGGAATTGATAAGAATACACAATATTATTAATAGATATAATAATTCTACTGGTAAAGTTTTAAGGAATTCAATATTCCTGTGTGAAACGTGAAAAATTTGTTAGAATTTACTCTGTTGTAAGGGTTGCACATAGGACCCCATAAAATACATACCGGGTCTTAAAACTAATTATTACATTGAAGTTAAATGAGAACGTCGTATGGGAGACCATACTTTCTCGAGTTCCAGAGCAGTAGCGGCCGGATGGCCGAGCGGTCAAGGTGGCAACCTACCGCTCTGGGGGACCCGGGCTCGAATCCGAACGGGTCGAAAAATCCTCAGGAATTTTTCGGGGGGTGGTCTGTTCGGATATGTCGGGCCCCGTCCCTCACCACCCGGCATCCCCATTGTGGGCCTGGCCGAACCCATAATGGGCTTGCAAAAAGAGGCCCTCTTAGTGCCCACAGGGCGGAAGGAGTTAAATAAAAGAAAAAAAAAGAGTTCCAGAGCAAACCGTTCATTTTACCTCCCCTTCTTGGTGTCCCCGGTCAACTATCCAAAAAATAAAATCTAAATTATGTAGTTCCTAAGTTACACCAGCATGCAAAACTTAAGCACTAACTGTTTTTTGCCGTAACTTCACAAGAAATCATCAGGGAGACACGAAATTTACAAAACAGAGACAGTATTTTGTACTTAAAGGATGAAGAAAGTATACTAGCACAAAAATGAATAGAATGCATATAGTGCGGAATCAAAACTTTTTTATTGTAGTCTTGCACTGCGTGTGCCAAATTCACACATTTTGTGTGCCTTTGCGTCACCCGCGACGCCTTCTTCCTGCATACGAATCACCTTTATACCGAAATGGATGTTCATTGTACTGATTGCAACAAGCTCTTTTCTATAATTTCATGGCCATCTGCTTAAAAATTACATCGTTGCTTAAGTTTTGCATGCCCTAGTGTATTTAGAATAACTTAGGAACTACTTAAAATTAATGTAAAGCAGATAAAATCATGGATCTGAAAAATAATTTTTTCGAAGTAATTAGTGTGTATAAAATTAACACAGTTTTTTCTTAATAAATGAGCATTTTTAAATTTATTTTTATATTTGCAGAATAAAAACCTGATAATTCTAAATCTAATTGTTCTTAAATAATTTAACAGTCATTTGTAAGATATTGTGAATCTGACAAAAATGTTCTTTATTTTTTGAAAGAAAGCAAAGACATGCCAAATTGCAATTACAGTTTATATCAATA